CTGGAGAGGTTCGAGGATCTCATAACTGTCATAAAAGCCAATGGAGTCCCTCAAGACTATCTTCTCTGCAAGCTTTTCAAATACTCTCTATCTGGAGAAGCTATATCAACTCCCCAGACTTAGCCTTTTGCTTGTCCTCAAGCAAAACAAGGTAGCTTGTAAAAGAGGTTTGAAAAGCAGAGGTTCAAAGTATGTGTAAATTGTCTAAACCTCCTATGCCACACTCATATCTTACCATGTCAATTCCAGAATACATCATACCTTGTCCTAGTATAGCAACCAAATCCAATCTACCAACAACTTAGCAAATATTAGTCTGGCTCACCCCTCTACTGACTTCATTTCTTTCATAAAATAAATGTGTATGCTTTACTTTGGGAGTATTGATCAAAGGACAATTGGACTCAACTCCTGCAAGTATCTGAACACACAGGTAAATAGTATTCTCTGATCCCATTCTTCTCTATTTCTTTCTTTGAATCTTTTCTAATTCAATGCCATTGAACTAAGACATGTACTAATGCCTTCCATCTTGTTCATCTTTATTGATTTTTGTTTTTTTGTTTTGTTTACAAAAGTGTAGGCAAATAGTGGGGTCATCGGTAATGTACCTACCCCTCGCTTTCACAATGTGTGATCATTCCTTTGAGTTAGATAGTTGGGTCATCAGTAATGTTCTACCCCTCTGCATCTTAGGAAATCATCTTAATCTTTTATATTCCTAATATGTGCCGAAGAGATATTGAGAAAAGGGAACCAGAAACACATAGACTTTATACCTTCCAGACTTGCAGAAGGATTCCCTGTCGATCGGCGCATGGAGTACCCTGTTGATCGATGGTTGAGGCACATAATGAAAAGGTTGGTGTTGAATATGTTGTCACGTAAGCTGTGTGTGGATCGATGTTTAAGTAGTGTAATCAAACGATGCTTGATGGTCAGATCGCTGGTCACGGTTGAAGAGATTTCTAGCTCCATTGGCCATTGCAAGGATGTCTGCAGTGTCATCTCAGTGGTATAATTTCAGTGTGAAGCTCACTGAAAGTATACCACTGAGCAAGACTCAGATGGCAGATAGGGATGTATGGCATTTCACAAATAATGGAAGATATACAGTAAAATTAGGATATCAGGTTGAAAGGGTTTACCCAAATAAGGAGAAACCACCATAAATGTTTGGACCTACAGTTGATATGTTGAAGGCGTTTTGCTGGAAAGTAGGGTGCCTACCAAAGATAAAACATTTCTTATGGCAATTGGATTTTAGATGTATAGCAATTAAGAAAAACTTGCAAACCCCAAGGGTTACATGGGGACATATGTTGTGCTAGGTGCGAAGCTGCAGAGGAATCAATTGATCATGTCTTCTTTGAATGTACTCCAGCGATTCAGGTCTTGGCGCTTTCAAAGATACCGTCAAACTCGGACATCTTTCCCACTGTCTTTACACAACTACCAAAAATGGAGGACCATCAGTTTGCATGGATATTATGGTATATTTGGAAAGCAAAGAGTAACAAAGTATTCAGTAATTTGGACATAGACCCTAGAGACACCTTTAAACTTGCAGAAACAGAATCAACACTATGGGTGGAGACACAAGTTCTGAACATTCAGAGAGTAGCAACTCAGGTTGCGGTCGAGCCCCTACCATCAATCCCAGAACAATGGTGCTTTACTGATGGTTCATGGAAAGAAAATAAATGTTTCTCGGGACAAGGCTGGTATAGTACTCTAAAAGGTTTTGATGGTCTGATGGGAGCACAAAATGGTAGGACTAGCCTTTCAACACTTCATGCAGAGGTGGCGCTACTATGGGAAATGGAATGTATGAGGAATTTACGTCAGTATCAAGTCACGTTTGTAACGGACTGTTCTCAATTGGTGAAGATAGTTTCGGAACCAGAAGAATGCCCAACTTTTGCAAGTTGTTTGGAAGATATCAAGACCCTCAAGGATAGTTTCCTCACCTCAGAAATCATACATGTCCCACGAACGCAAAATACAAAGGAGGATACCTTAGCACGCAGTGCCAGGAAAGAACCGTCTGTCGTCGTTCACATGAATTTGGAGTCTCCAATTAGGTTTTCAAAGTCAATATAAGTCTGTTCTAAGTTGATGAAAAAAATATATAATTTCTAAATTTATCATTTCTAAATTAATATGATTCTCTCTTACAAACTTAAAAACTAAAATACAATAATGTAACTATTTCTTATATGTGTTACGGCTAGTTTATTGTTCTAGTGTTTTTTTAGGTTAGGAGAAAAGTTATTTAATATTCTAGACTTAGTAATTGAAATTGTATCTATTATAAAAATTAAAAGAGAAAAGTTTTAAAGTGAGCCTAAACTGCAAAGAATATATTGGAATCAACATAATAGGACATCGTTTAACATCATGACAATATGTGATCTAAATATGTTGCTTACATATGTTTGGAATGGAGCACCCTGGTTCATGTTTGGATACAGTAGTTCTCACGATGGCACTAGATAGTGATGATGAGTTTTTTTGCCTCCAGTAGACAAGTATAATGTAATAAATATTGGATATCCAAATAAGCGATGTTTTTTTGCTTCCTATAGATCTTCTCAGTATAGAGAGTTTAGGTATCACATGTCCTACTTCAACAATGGTCCTCCTCCTCGGAATAAATAAGAAATGTTTAATCGATGTCATGTTTTTTCAATGTGTCATGTTTTTCCATGTTCTGTTATTGAAAAAACTTTGGAGTTAAGAAGAAGAAATTGAAGATTGTGTGATTTTTTGAGATATGATATTCATGTTAAAAAAAAGTGGTGATTGTTACAATGAGACTACATAATTTTATCAGAATTTTAAATTATTGATGAAGATTTTTTTGAAGAAATGAAGCACACAAATATCAGTAACGAAGATTCAAAATGTGATTTAAATGACATGAAGATAACAAATGCGGTTGAAGGAGATCATATGACGAACAATAGAGATATTATTGTAGAAATGTTATGGAAAAAACAAAATACCTTTCATGAAATTATTTTATATTTGCTAAGTATTATTATACATTATGTGTTTTAAAATTGATGTAATTTTTATTATTCATATATAATGTACTTTTTGAATTACTTTTGTCATACAATTATTTGATCTGAAATTCTCTTGTATGATCCACTCGATCTACATTTGATATGTTTGATCTGTATAATCTACACCACTTGTAAATCTAAAATAAAAACGTTATTGTTTGCTCTCCGTTATGTTTGATATGTATAATCTACACCATTTGATGAATTATAAAAATATTTTTATAAGATCTTGTACTTCTTCTATTTATTTTAGGTGATCAGATTTTATTTAGAGAGCATTTAGATTACACTAGTATTAAACTTTTGAATGAACTTACCATCAAAAAAATCTCTATCAGTGAATGTAGGATCTTTGAAATAGTAATTGGTCATAAAAATTATTTAATTGTACAACTCAATAAATACTTGTTTTCAATTAAAAGTCCATTTAAAATTGTTTTTCAATAAATTTACAGAATTCAATCATTTACCTATATATTAACTATTTTAAAACATAAAAATATTAATTACTCTTGTTGATATTTATGTAGAAAAAAATATATCTTTTTCTTTTGTGTTTTGTAGGTGTTTATAATTTTAAAACAACACAAGTAATATTAGTGTGAAACATATAGTTTGAGTTAAGCATTGTAGATTATTTATAAAATAAGATAGATATATTTTAAAATTAAATGTTTATAACTAAATTATTTATTAACAAAAAAAGAATATCAACATCACCGAATGTTAGAGGGTAATCTTCTCTTTTTTCACAAAAAATAGAAAATATTGAATTCCATACAAATTTTCTTCTTGAACTGCTTTTACAAACAGAAAAAAAAATGAATGGTGAAAGCAGTGCGAGAAAACTACATGTACGACTGCATGTGCGAGAAAACTGCACTTCTCCCGCTGATTCATTCGAACACTAAGTGTATGAATAGAAAACGCGGAACAGGACGTTTTTGACAATTTTGTAATGAACCCTACATAATTTCATCAATCCCCAATATTTAACATTTGCGGGACGTTTTTCTTTGTGTTATTTGTGGTGCATTTTTACTTTATTAATTGTTGAATTTACAAAGAAAAAGTGAAAAACACACCAAAAGTAAATATGCATATATTTGAAGTGTTTTTTTTGCCTTTTTGTGCGGTTTTGTATACTTTTGAATATATACACATTTAATACATACTGTATTATATAAGTAATTTTATTGTTGACCTTTTATTTTAATTTATTTCAGTTAACACTTTAGTTTTAACATAATTTTATGATAAACATTTTTATTAAAAACTGATAATCAATAATTTACTTTTAAATTTGGTTGCTTTTTAAAACATGTTCCTTTTGACTAATGTAATATATTTTATTTTATTTAAATTAATATTGTACTTGTTGTTTATATATAAAAATGAAACTTTATGTTTGCATTTAATAAAACTAATAATTAAATTACAAATTTAATATATTCATTTTCAAAAATTTATATTTAAGACATTTTAATTTAATGTATTTTTTCTTATATTAATATTTTATTTATATAATTTAATTATACTATATTAATATCCACTAATAATTTATTAATTAAATAATTATTAAATACGACAAATAGATATTGTCACCAATTAAATAATATTTTTATAAAAAATACCGTATCGCATTTTAGTTCCGGACAAACTGCAATTGCATTATCCCGTATTATAATTTTGTATCGTTTTTATTACTAAATATACCGTTGCCCTTCGGAGCGTCACCACTCGGAGCCTAATAAGTGAAGAATAGTGGGAAGCAGAGCAATCGGCGCATTAATGGCTCAAGACAAAAGCCATTTAATGGTCTTCTTTCTCAACTGCAATGTCCCATCTTCTTCCCTAACTTAATGCCCTCTGTTTTCGTTCTCCGTGCTATACGCAAAGCATTCAAAACTTATGTCGGCCCAGAAATTTCAAAAAACCAAAAAAAAAAAGAACATATCAAATCAACAAGAGACAGAGTCATATTATTATCTAATCAAACAACAACTCTTGACATATGATTTAATTTCAGATTCAACCCTTAAACCAAATTCACCTAACTAATCATGTGTTTGATCCAAAATCTTCATTTGAATTGGATTCTTCTCTTGACCTCCCAATCCCGGCGTCTTTGGAACAGAACAAGAGTTTATGAAAATGGGTTCACTAAGCGACGACGATACTGATGGGTTAGGATTTAGTTTCGATGGTGGAGCTGCGTAAACTGGAATCACTGATCTGATTTGAACCGCTGGAGCTAGCCTATTACAACCTCCGACGAAACCGAACCTTCCTCTGTCGGAAAATGGGATTTGTTTACTATATCCGCCCGATGATTCGTTAAGTTTGGCTTTATAAGGAGCAGCCATTGGTAAAGGAAATGACTTTGTGATGATCATCTCAGTCTCTGGCTTATCTTCTTGTGGTGGTTTGCCTTTGTATTGTTGAAGGTTTGTTCTTGATGCCTGACTTTGTGTTGGGGGAATCAGTGAGACCAAACTGGTTTTCTGGTATTGCTTCTGTGTTGATGATGGTGGAGGTTCATGTGTTAATAGATTGATCCATCTCAATCTCTCAGACAAGTCCTTGTTTGTGTCTTGTTGACTTCTTCTCCTCCTTTGGTTTGTGGTCTCTCTTCTTCTTACCTCTTTGGGTTTAAATCTTGAAAGTACTCTTGCTACTACTTCTTGTTCCTTCTCTTCACCATTTTCCTCTTTTCCTCCCTTAGAATCCAAGCTTGACACTGCACCCAAAAAAAAAAGAAAAAAAGAAATAGGGATTGATTCAATAAGAAAAGTGAGAAGAGTTTTGGGGGTTTATAGAAAATTGGAAGAGAGTTTTAGTCACTTTTTCTCAAGGAGGACCAAGCTGCAATGGCTGCGTTTTTCTCAGCTTGTTTCTTTGTCTTTGCTGATTCTCCTGTGAAACTCAGCCCAGCAAGCTCCACTGTGCAAGAGAAAGCTGGGAAGTGATAAGATCCTGATCTCACACTTGTGTATATTGGCAGATCAAGACCAGCTCTATGTGCTGTCTCTTGTAGCAAGTTCTTGTAAATCCCTGTCTCATCCTTGAAACACAGATTGAAATGATATAAAGATGCTACCTACACTTTTTGCTGTTTTTGTATATGATCAAAACCTACAAGAGAAAAACAGAAACTTACAAGAATCTTTGCAGTTAATGATTTTGAAGGGAGTCTGGAGGAAAGGACATTAAGTGAAACTTCTGCAGCTGCATGTTCAGCTTGTCTGAGAGTGGAACAGTAAGTGGGACTCTCAAATAACTCACCATTGAAGTTAACAGAAGCTTTGAATCTTGGAGCATGATCTGGTCCTTCTCTGATGCAGGTATATGATGGTAAGTTGAAACAGCTTCTCTGTGCAAGCTCTTGCAGCTGATTCTTATACATGTTTTTCCCCTGTAAACTGCAAAGAAAACAGCAAAGTCAAATCCAAATACCACAAATCTTTTTTTGTAGGTCTTAAGACAAGACAAGGAAAAACCTACCTGCTAAATTTTGGTATCTAAGGTTTGGCTACTTAGTGTTGAAAGTATGACTAAAGGAGACTTTTTTGCAGAGGTTTTTTGAGCTCTTTGCTCACATGGTAAGGTTTTAAATAGAAAGGCAGCTAGAGGAAGATAAAAAACGGTAATAGTGACATTTCAATTGAAATATTATTCGTCTTTTTATATTATTTTATAACATGTGCATACAAATAACACTAATGAATGAGCAAATACTGTTATTGACTTTCTGTATTGTCTTTGTCTAGTGGTGTTTTGACTGGACAGGTACCTTCATCCCCAGTTAAAAACAGTTACATTTTATCAACACATTCAAGGTTTGACCACTTTGTGGATTCAGTTCATGAACAGAAAGTCCTTGTCTGAAGAGAAGACTCATTTATGTAGAGCCTTGTTTGGCTTTTATTTTTAACTGTTAAAGAGATTTAGATCCAGAGAGTAAATTAATTTAGAACCTAGAAGAAGAAGAAGAACTCTAAAGGATTCCTTTGCATTTATTGCAGAGCCGTGCTTCAATTAACACCATAAACAAGACTGGTCTGGTCTTCTAGTCCACATGTCTGAAGAAGTCAGTTTCAGCTTTTTAGTTATTTGACACAGTTATAAGTACAGTGCAAAAGCGTCTGTATTCATTTTGTTTTCTCATCCTAGTTGAAAAATAAGTACTGTTAAAATCACAAATTACAATAAAACACAATGATTAGAGTTTATTATCTGTCTGAACATAACCATTAAAAACACTCATAACTTCTGAAAAAATCAAACAATTCACAACTGATTTCTCTGAACAACCCAAAATACATCAATAAATAAAGTTGAAAATCATACAAACACACGTTTTGAGAGCACCTCTCTGTTCTTTTTTTTTTTCTCTTGGCATGTTTTTAAGTTCTTCTTGATGCCAAGGCCATAACCTCTGGTGACATTTCCCAGCTGGAGTGCCTAGGATGAATGTTGGGCCTACCACTTTGTTCATAATCATCCGTTGTGGTCCTAATGTCACCCAACTCATCGTCGTTGACATGAAACCGTTCATTATTACTACCGTTCTTGTCATCACCATGTTCAGCCATTGCCCAGACACCTTTCCTCCCCATTTCAATCTCATCATTACCTCTCCCCATGTTTGGACTCATAAAACCGCCAACAGCTGATCTTAATGGCACTGGAGCTTCCCTAGGTACCATAGCCCTGAAATCATTCTTCGAAGTAGGTATTGCGTAACAAAAGATTTCTTTGAAGTTATCAACCACTCCTTTGTTATGTGGGTTGCTACGCCGGTCATAACTGTATCTGAAATTCTCATATGTAGTCTACAGAAACAAAAACAAGATCAAAAGGTGTAACAGAATGACATGAGTTTCTTTTTCAGACAGAGAGGCAAAAGGACTTTAAGGTACCTGATTTGTGCTGATGAGATAGAGATGGAAACCTGTTAAGCCTCCAACGAACCACATACATATGAATGTGTAGATTATCAGAGCCATGGAGGCAGGAGTTTTGAGCATTGCTTTCCAAATGGTTATATCTTCAGATTCTTTGATCTTCCTTATATAGACACAGCAAAAGGCCAACACGTATACACATAGAAGAGTCGTGGAAAAGACAAACATGAAGAAGAACCGATAATTCCTCTGCCAAAACCCCCCCAAAGAAACATTAGATAAATGATAAGACAGATGGTAGATACCATTAAAAAAATTTGAAACTGAGAGAAGCTTACTTGGGCAATACATTGACCAACCCAAGGACAGTGATGGTCAAATCTTTCTACACAGTTGTTGCAGATAGAGCAATGAGAGCAGCGAGGTGGTCTATAGAGCATGCAAGTGTCACAGTACTTGACCTTAAATATGTTCCCATTAACTTCTACTTCCTTCACGCGAGGCAGTCTTGGGGTCTGGCTTGTCCCTGAATTTCCATCAACAACTTCAGGCTCAGGAGGATGAGAGTTTCTTGGGATAATCCCTGGATCTCTTCCGGATGTAAGCATCAGAAGAATTAAGTCCTGAGTGAAAGCATAGAACTGTTACGAATCCACAAATCATTTGTAATGAAAAAAAAGGAAAGGTTTGGTTGGTACTCACATAAATGGTGAAGACAACAGCAACAGAGACTATTGAGACTCCCCAAGTATCAGAGAAGTCATCCATTAGCTTGCTTGCAACGAAGATGCAGAAGACTATAACAGGGACCACGATTAGACTTATGGTGAGACCAAGTGACCTTGCGTCTGGCCCGAATATAAACCTTCCCTGAAGACAAAATATCTGCAGAAATGAAACAAACAAAAAACACAAAAGAGTATTATTGTTGGGAAAAAACATCAACAAGGTTTCAATAGAGTGTTTTTGGGGGAATAACTTCAAAATGTTACAGGATTTAATCTTTGGTGTCACATTTATACATAAACAGGAAACAAAATAGCCATTTGAGGTTTTTTTTTGCTAATAAAGACATTTATAAACATTCTATTGTAGACAAGAAACCTTAAAGCAACACTTGTAACACCAAAACCCAAGTTCCAATTTTTAGAACAGACTAATCTGAGCCCAAATGACTGAGAAATTTCTACTCTAATAGCTCAATAATAAACACACACAATCAAGAAAGAAAGAAAGAACTTCTAAAAAAGGAAACTTACATTGCTTCCTTTCCATGTTTGATAGACCCGAAAACCGTAGTTGGATCCCAAATCGGATCTCTGAGGAGGCGTCACTACATACATCTCTCTCTCTTTCTCTCTTCTCTTTGGCTTTCTCTCTTTCTCTATCTTTCCTTTCCTTCAGAAGTAAGCAAAGGCGAAAACGCTGATAGAGAAAAAAAGGAGAAAGATTTAGTCTCCGTTGAAGAGATTCCTTAGTTTCTGGGAAGTCTCCGACATGAAATGAGTAGTCAGAGTGCGAGAAAAAAAGAAAAAAGAGGGTTCGGCTTCTCCCTGGCTCCTCGCACTTTACTCTTTTCGTTTTCTCTCACTATTCAATAGATAAAATATTTTAAAATTCTATTGTTTTATCAGTCTGTCACCGTCGTAGCTAACTCTTTTTATAAGCCGAAAGTGAAAAGAATGAAATCAGCTGACGTGGCATTCTTTTACTGGTCTGTTTCCTAACTAGGCTACGCGGCCTTTTTCATTCTTACATGAAATTAGATAACGGAAAATTTTTTTAAAACATATCTTCTTACAGCAACAACTAAGTAGTAAGTAAGATAAGAAAAAAAAAACAGAACCTTGAGTTTTCCACATAGACAACAAACATGAAGCTTTGTTTCAGTGGAGTTTATGTCTCTTCTTGTCTGTCTTTTGTCTTTTAACCTCTTAGCCCAATAATTTTCTTTTGTTTCTTCTATCAATCACATAAGCAAAGTCTTTGTCTGTGAGACAATCATGATCATCCAAATCAAATGCGTATTAAATGTGGGACAAAATGATACTAAGCTTAGACATAGCGTCTTTAGAGGGATTTGCTAATGCTTGATAGAGAGGTTCTGGAGGGCTTCTTATCATGCAAGCTTGATCGGTTGCTCTTCGGATTCCTGTAACTGTCTTGGCTACAAAAATGCACACCGATCAGGTAGTGTTTGAGACCTAGCAGTTAGCGAATCAGCTCTTCTGGTCTTTACTGTCCAGGATTTGGTCAGTATTTATTAGAGGATAATCTAGGGACCGAAATTTGAAATTAGGTTGGAAGGTAATTAACGAGGAACACTGACAGAAAAAGATATATTCAGAATGAAACAAAAGTACACACAACATGAGCTTTTACACTTGAGGGGCAAGAAGTGATAAGCTTTGCCCTTGATGTTTTATTTAGAAGCAAAAGAAACATGAACACAAACATACACACGTCATTTCCTCACACTGAATGGATACACTTGGTAATTATCGTATGTTGTCATTTCAAGGCGCCTTTTGGTAGCAATGGCAGTGCAGATCGAGTCCCTCAACAACCGCCCAACAGAGTGGAGGAGAGGCGTTTATTTTTTTGCAACAATTACAGCAATCCACATCTGTACCTTTGAAAGGCGCTTCTCCGCACTCGCTTAAGAACACACGCGAAGTGGTGGCAGAGCATCCAGTTTCAAGTGGGCACGTCACCCCAGGGAGAGCCTCGCTTTTGAAGATTCCTGTTGACATATTTATCAGCACAAGATAATTAATATACAACTGGAAAAATTATAACCGAGATCAACTTGGTTAAATATTACCGGTAGAAGCCAACACGAGGACAAACAAGAGAACGGTGAAGGTGGCGGAGTTTAAGTTCTTTGCCATTTCTTTTCTTTCATTTTGCTAAAACTTGCTCTTCTTTTTCTTTTCAATAAACTTAACTTTGATGATAAAAATCTATAGCTGCGGTCATCTATTTATAGTCCATTCTCTGTTATTCCAGGTTTTCCCTAGTTCATAATGTCGCCATAATTGTGCATTGCCGGCTTTTTCATTACATTCCCCCCCCCCCTCTTTTTTTAATCATGCTCCTATCATAAACAATCAGCTGACATGAATGTCATCTTGTAACTCATCTTTTATATTACCTTTTTATTTAGTTTCAGATAGTCCCTCCGTATTTAAAAGAATGAGGTTTTGGACTTTGTTTTGTTTTTGAAAGATTGCAATTTTGACCTTTATATAATGTATTTTGTTTTAAAACTAAAATATAAATTAATATCTAAAAACATGAGTGATATAGTTTTTTTGGGAAGCAAAAAAAAAAATTAAAAACACTAAACTAAAAATTTGATTGATCAAAACTTGTATTTTAATTTTTATAATATATGTTATCCTTAAACATCAATCCTTCGACAAAGGGAGTATTGTTTAAGACTGATATTGTTGTTGTCATGGACAGACTAAGCAGAAATTTTGGCAACGTTTTAATCTAATAAATTGTGAACGATCTGGATTTATAAGTTCGTTAATGAAATTTAGGGATTCAACTGCAATACAGCAAATATGGCGACACTATTTCTCTTCTTTAGACTTTGCAGCATCTGTTACTTCTATACAACTTTAAGGTTTCAGGTCAATGAAATGCAGCAATCATGGCGACATTAATAAATTTTGGGTATTTACGTTATTTTAAATTCAAATATAACTAATTCCTTGTATTATGCCTGAACATTTTAATTACCAGATATCCAAATATGTGTTCGAACCCAACCCAAAAAACTTGAGATAAAATCTGAATTGAATATCAAAATACCCAAATGGATATAGATTTAGGAGATATTGGTTATCCGATCTCAAATGAATATCTGAAAATAATCGAACATATGTATACTTAACCCTATTTTTCTAGTTTACTTCTCTCATTTTATTCAAAATATCTATATTGATGTTGCACATAACTCAAAATCAGATTATATACATATAATTAAGAATAAAGTGATTTGTTAATCAATTAAAATGCATAACTTACTTCGTGCATTAACACAAGTTGCATTCAAAATTTCGAAACAACAACTAAATTGGTATATTTTTAAGTTTTATCTGAAAATATATTAATCTTCCTATTAAAAATTAGACAACCAGTTAAGTTAAAGTATATTTTAAAATTAAAAAACTCTTGAGCAATGAAGAATTTTATTTTTCAAAAGCTAAATATCAGAACACGACCTGGAATAATCGAATCCGAACTAAAAATATCTGAACCTGATCTAAACTGTAAAAATACCCGATCATGTTCTATACCTCTATACTCAAAAATCGGAAATACTCGATTCGAACCCGAACGGGTAGCCAAAACGTCCACCCCTACTTTGTATACTATTGTACTTTAAGTACTTGAATACTTTTTTGCATATGTATATGTTTAGTTATGCCAAATAGTTTTAAACAAATAACCAAGTATTTATGACATTCAATTTGGTTTCATATCTCTTAGGTTGATTGGGTTCGCAATTCCTTTAGTTTCAGGTATTTTTGTCATTTGCTAACCCTGAATATTATGATATTACAGATTATGAGAAATATTACAGAAGATTCTACAATTGACAATCTTACATGTCTTGTGAAGAATCACGTCTGACTGTATACCTGAGCCACACTATAGGATCCACACGCTTGATAGTACTGCGCTATGCTAAAGACCTTTTGTAAATCATTTCTCCTTTAATTTGCATAATTTCGCCTTCTTTGAGACTCGAAACCCAACTTTCCGGTGTAGAAGTATTAATGAATCCTTAATAAAACCACATGTAAGTTGTCTAGACATGTTATAAGCATAGCATATATCACGAAACCTCACTACTAAAACTTGGTAAGGAATTTGTGCGATCTCGTGCATAAACTCATTTTATAAAAATAAATATACTACACTTCATAAATTATATTATATGAAACCTTAAAATCTTAATTTTAAAACATACTAATTTCCTGTCACAACATATATTGCATGTGTATATTATAATTTACATGTAATATTAAAAATTATTTTTTTATATTTTTAGATTATAACAAAAATACCAATATGTTAATACCAATTAAGATATACCTATTATATTAGTTTAGGTACGTTATTATGCAATGTTGAATACAACTTAATATTTTTGAATTTAACTAAAATGAGCAAGCACATTTAAATCTATTCATTTATAAATTTAAAAAGGTAATTTATAGTGAGAAATAAGACATTCATGATTTTTTGAAACTATATAAAATACATATATTGTCGAAAACATAATTGTATATTAACTTTAAGAGATCTTGTTCAATAACATATTATTCTTGGTAAATCACACACACATTCTTCTTTTACTCGTTATTTGTATATTATGTAGTCATTCTAAAGAATTATATGCTTTCAAAGAATAAACTGAATCCAGAGAAACACATTTTGGCATAAGATTCTATAAATTGAAGAATCTCCAATTCCTTGTTCCTCCTAAGTATTGTCACTGAATAGTATTCAGAATACATATGTATCACTCGTAGTGCCCATGATAGTGTTATAATCTTTGAAGATGAATGAAGCATGTATGATCCAAACAGCATTGAACTAAATGACAACCTCTCTGTCCCACCCATGAGAATGTGTTTCCAATTGTTTTTATATCCATGAAGTCACACGTGTGCATCATCTTCCTAAAATTAATAAAGGAATTTTCTGACCGTTTTCTACTTCCCAAATTTCAGGATTCCACAGATATCATTGAAATCTCCCAATGCTAACCAAGGTTCATTCCACCTAGTGGTAGCTATGCGTTCGAGTTTCTCCCAAGCATAATGTTTGAGAGACGGATTTGGTTGCCCCCAAAAAATAGAAGTAAAACAACTTGCATTGATAACAACTTTACAATTGAATAAATTTGAGATTGACTTAACACTGATAACTGAACTAGATGCTTCCAAAACACTACTAGGACACCACAAAGACCGACTAGGGAAACTATTACATGATTTAAAAAAAAAAAGTGACTGTGCTCCAACGTTCCTTATGAAATCATCTTACTGCTTTGTTGTGATGTTCGGGAGATATCTTCGATTTATTTCCTTAAGGCGTCTAACTGTCCAATGCCTAGCCTCAGCAGTTTCAGCAGGTTGTGCACATGGTTCTAGAGGTGATTGTAGGTCCACCGCGCCTCTTTATCATTTTTTTTCTTATCATCTGCAATATCATCATCTTCTTCGCTTTGAACATTACTTGTTGACTCATTAACATGCTTTCTCTTTGCATTAATGTTTCTACTGGACTCAATCTTTTCTAGTTATGTGAGTTTCGCTGCGTGTCTAAATGCAGTATGTAGCCAAGCCGTCCTTTTTAATATATTTTTCATCTCGGATTTTCCTCTAAATGGATTAGGATTATACATCTCTTCCATGTGCAGATCACTTGAATGCATATTCTCCATTGCTGCTCCAGGCGAGAGCTCATCATCATATGCCTCCTTTTCAATGGCAGCAATTTTTCTTTCATATGCATCTTGCTCTCTGTAAGTAAAGATGGTTTCCCTTGAGCTATTTCCGTTATCATTCCTCAATATATAATACAATAGGTTGAGAGATCTTAGGAAAGTTCCAAACAAATAGGAATATACATAGCATATTCTAACTATACAAGAAGATAATACTTATCATATAATATCCTCCGGTAGTTGGACCGTCGATGGAACCACGCCAAGACTGAATCTGAATTCCGTGAAAAAGGAGGTTGGTAGACCTTTAGTAAAAATGTCTGCATATTGAAGAGATGATGGTATGTGCATGACTCGAACTTCACTCATTTGCTTCCCACATACAAAGTGTAAATCGATCTCTATGTGTTTCATTCTCTGGTGTTGAACCGGATTGCAAGACATGTAGACAACACTCACATTGTCACAGTACACCAATGTAGATTGGTGTAGTGTTCTTCCCATTTCCAAGAGCAAGTTACGTAACCAGCAAGCTTCAGCGATGACACTAGTGACTCCTTTGTATTCAGATTCTGCACTTGATCGCGAGGTAGTGGGTTGGCGTTTCACTAACCAGCAGATGAGGTTGTTCCCAAGGTAGATACATAATCCTCAAGTGGAGCCTCTTGTCGTCGAGCATCATGTCCAGTCTGCATTGATGTATTGCATATTTCCATTGTTTTATCTATTCATACATATGCATTTTGATCATATAGACTAGAATTTAGCCATTTCTAGGTTGCATTTTGCATACATGAGTTCTTATCAGGTATTGAAGTATCCTTGGAGTTCTTGGAGGTGATTGTATGCATTTGAGGTCCAAAGGAGGAGTTAGAAGTGATTATTGTACGAGTAGAGGCCAGAAAAAGGTCCCAGAGTGGGTCCCTGAAGTCGCTCCACACCAGAGCGACGTCCAAAATTCGCTCCTTGAAGTCGATCCAGCCGTTGAATGAGAAGCAACCAGAGCGACCCACCAGAGCGACCCACCAGAGCGACGTCTTGGGAGCGAGGCACCTAAGTCGCTCGCCTTTTTATCAAAATTGGAAGCCGGGATAGCCTTGGAGCGAGGTCCTAGAGCGACCTGGCCAGGTCGCTCCAGCTCCAGAGCGACATGGCCAGGTCGCTGCGTGTTTTGTTTGGAAGAAAAATTGTGTTATTTTAAGGACCTTTTGGTCATTTGTTTCATGTTTTTACTTTTTCTAAACCTAAGTTAAAAGTACCCTGTAAGCCTACCAGGCAGATCCTATCTTGATTTGGAAGAGAAAAACACAAAAACCTCTTGGAAAGTTCATCTTTTTGAATCATTCTTATTGTTCTTGTGATCATGTTCTGTTTCATTGCATATTCTACTCATCATATATGATTAAGCTTGAATCCAGT